GTAAATAAAGATAGCAGTTCTCTGCCAGCAAATGAGGAGGGTGGCAAAAGGAATTAAAAAAAAAAAAAAGATAGCAGTTCTCTTCAAATTGATATAAATGTTTGACACAATTCCTGTGAAAATCCCAGCAAGGATTTTTATAGATATAGAGAAGATTATTCTAAAATTTATATGGGAAGGCAGAGGACCTACAATAGCTAGAAAAATCTGAAGAATAAAGTGGGAGGCATCAGTCTACCTGATTTCAAGACTTATAGCAGGTAATCAAGACTCTGTAGTACTGACAGAGGGACAGAAAACAGATCAATGAACAGAATAGTGAACCCAGAAACAGACCCACACAAACATGCCCAATGATTTTTTACAAAGCTGTAGGAGCAATTCAGTGGAAGAGGGACAGCCTTCAATAACTGGTGCTAGAGCAACTAAAGTGCATAAGCAAAATAATGAACCTTGACCTAAATGTCACACCATATACAACAAGTTAACTCAAAATAGATCACAGGCTTAAATGTAAACTGTTAAACTATAAATTTTTAGGGAAAAAGAACCCATGAGAAAATCTTTGGGATCTAGGGCCAAAGAATTCTTAGACTTGACAACAAAAACACAATTCATAGTGGGAAATACTGATAAATTGGACGTCATAGAGACAAATACCTTTAGGTCTGTGAGAGACCACGTTGAGGGTATCAGGGGAAGGGCTACAGACTGGGAGAGAATACATGCATGCAATGTGTCTGATGAAGGACTATGTAAAGAACTTCAGGGCTCAACAATAAAAAAACAAATAAACCAATGAGAAAAAAGGCAAAAGGCAAGAAAAGATTTTCAACATCATTAGTCATTAAAGAAATGCAGACTAAAATCACAATGAAATATCACTATACACCTCTTAAAATGGTTAAAATAAAAAATTGTGACAACATCACATGCTAACAAGGATGCGAAGAAACTAGATCACTCATACGTTGCTGGTAGAAATGTGAAATGGTACAAGCCACTCTGAAAAAGAATTTACTAGTTTCTTAAAAAACTAAACATGCTATCATACAACCCAGCAATGACACTTCTGGGCATTTATCCCAGAGAAATGAAAACTTACACGTTCACACAAAAATCTGTATAAAGATTTTTATTGCAGCTTTATTCATAATTGCCAAAAAATCAAAACAATCCAGATGTCCTTCAATGGGTGAACAGGCAAAAAAACTGATGTATCCATACCACAGAATATCACCCATCAGTAAAAACAAAATGAACTATTGACATACTTAAAATCAACCTGGATGAATCTCCAGAGAATTACGCTGAGTGAAAAAAGCAAATGCAAAAAGGTTATATATTACATGATTCCATTTACATAACATTCTTTAAATGTCAAAAATTATAAAACTTGGGATTAAGGAATGGAGAGACGGAAGGAGAGGGGAGTGGCTGTGGCTATAAAAGGGCAGATGAAGGATCCTTGTGGTGACCGAATGTTGCTGCATCTTGACCTTATCAATGCTAATATTCTGGCTATGATCTTATACTGTAGTTTTGCAAGATGTTACTGTTGCAGGGAAGAGAGTACATATGATCTCTCTGTTTAATAGCTTACAACTGAGTGTATCTGAAACTGAATATATAATTATCTCAAAATAGTTTAATTTAATATAAAAAAACCCTCAAAAACAAAACTCAACAAAATATCCATTACAAATTTCTAATAGTACAAAATATCTAACTTGACAGAGATCTGCATGTTTAACTTCTCTAAAGACAAGATGACGTGTGAAATTTAGAGATTTTTTGAAATAGATTTTCTGAATGCATTAAGTAAGCCACTCAAGAGTAGATGTTTAATACACATTGCTAAAATAACAATAAAAGTTTTTAAAAAATGCTTAAAAACCAGAATGTTATGCCAACAAGATTAGGTGAGCATTTACTTTTGTATCCTTTTTTCTATCACTGGCCTTACTGCACTGATCCAGTCATCTTGATTGCATGCACCTAGAAAGAAATTTTAAAACAGTTAAAGCAAATAAAAATAAGAAAAATTAACTGTAATATTACTTCAAAGTTTTGTCCAAAATATTTTTTTACAAGTACTTTAGCAAATAAAGGATAGTAAAAACCATGCAGAACAACATTAACTTCAATTCTTACTTTCTTAGTAATGGTTAAAGAAAAGAGTATTGTCACAATTTGATAATTTGCACTGTCCTATTACTATGTCACTTAGCAGGTACTAAAAAAATGTTTGAGGAAGTAATGAATTAGGGAGTTACCTCATTTAAACTCACAACCCTGTGCGATTAGGAGGTATCTCATTTAAACTCACAACCCTGTGTGGTTAAAAGTAAGCACCCTCATGTTACAGATGATACAACTGAAGGCTGGCCAGGTGCAGTGGCTCACGCCTATAATCCTAGCACTTTGGGAGGCTAACACTGGAGGATCGCTTGAGGTCAGCAGTTCAGGACCAGCCTGAGCAAGAGCGAGACTCTGTTTCCACAAAAATTAGAAAAGTTAGCTGAGTGTGGTGGTGAACGCCTGTAGTCCCAACTACTTGGGAGGCTGAGACAGGACGACTGCTTGAGCCCAGGAGTTTGGGGTTCCAGTGAGCTATGACTATGCCATTGTACTCTAGCCGGGGCAACGGAGCAAGACCCTGTCTCAAAAAAACAAAACTAAAAACTGAAGGCTAAGAAAAACCAGCCCACATGTTAGTGGCAAAATAAGGACTGAACTCATCTGACTCCCCACAATAGTAACCGTAAAATAAAATACTGAAATCCACCCATAATGCAAAACCAATTTTACCCGGTTGTTTTAATGCCCTTTTTCATGGGAAGTTATAGCAAAGCCACCAGCTGTATAGCAAAACTGATTGTTCTACTGTATCCTTTACTTCCTTTGTATTTATTTGATAGTTCCAATAAATAAAAAATGGCTGACTGGATGGAAACCAACAGACAAATGCAGAGATGAGATCAACTACTAAACTAGGAAAAACTAGAATCTATAGAATTGAAAGAACATTCTATTAATTTTTTATAACATAGAAAAATAAATATTTTTAAATATAGATGTAGCATGTAAATTTGCATTAGATAAACTATTGTTTCTATACATGGGTCATGGCAAAAACTATCAACAAAATGAACATATGTTAAATGTTTTTAAATCTAAAAGCATAGTTTTATAAACAGTATGTAATATCAGATTCAACTAAAAAGTTTGTTCTAATTAAAAGAAAAAGAAAATTTAATGAGGACGAAATAAGGAGTTAAAATTCTTTTGTAGGCCTATTTTTTTCAGTAATATTTCAGAACCATAGATTATACCCTCAACCTCAATAACTGTTATCATTTTTGCTCATGGTTAGAGATGTGGTGGGATCAGGATAAATCTATCTTTTGGCACAAAGGACAGCATATTATAGCACTATCTAAATAAAATCTTGGAAAAAAAATATTTTGTTGATTGTAAAACAATAAATTAAAGTGATTGTGAATGACTCAATTCCAAATGAAAATATTTTAATACAGATGATAAGAAATATCTGCTATCCCTTATCAGTAGGTTAAAATGACAAGAATAACTTTTTAAGTTCACTAAGAGTAGTTTTTCAAAATTAAATGGAAAATAAATTATGTAACCTATGGGTTAAAAAAAAATTTCTCATAGAAAAATCACAGGCCTCAACTGAACTATAGCAGTCAACATGTCCTTCCTACACGTTATTTAATTTCATAAAGTACTGATGAGCTTAAGGTCTGCATAATATTATAATACCTTTCGGTCACATTCTCCTTCAATATTTAAGCAGCACTGTGGCTACAATGAAGGTAAATACCCAACCTTTTTTCCCTTGTCAAAAGTGAAATACCAGGAATAGGAACTGCATTACCTAAATCAATTGGTCCTTCTCTTAATCCATCTAATTCATACAGTCTTCCATTAACAGGAACATAACTGACAAAGTGAAAAGCATCTTCTTCCTTTGCCGACGTTTTTGCATCAAACTCAAACATTTGCTGTCTATAGTAAAGAAAAACATAGTGAGACAAAGAAGCAAAGAAAGAAACAGTACTTATTTAATATAAAGTCTCTTTACCTGGCAAAACTGTTGTGTACTTGTCGAATCACATCCGAATTGCTCAGTGCCAAACCTTTCATCTAAAATAATTTTTTAAAGTAGCCTATTAAAATAAGAACTATCACAAACAGGAGATTTTAGGAATCATAAGAAGATTGTACTCACAGCTGCATCAAAACTTTGTGAAAATTCTTTAAACTCTGATAATGTCTCTCCTAAATGGACATCTTGATGAGTACAGTTCAATAACACACTTACTATGGCTTGAGTAGCACAAGCATTATTAATTACCTATAAAATACAAAAGTGAAGATATTTATTTTTTAACAAAAGTTTTTAACTGGTGACAATGACTTCAAAAATATGAATTAAGTTAATAGATTTCAAATTTTATCTCACATGGTCTTAGCACAAACATAATAACATGTTTAATTTCTATTCTAGTCTATTTTCAAGAGTTTGCTATAATTCTAGAGTTGAAGATTCTAGGAAACCAAATAAACTGAATGAACTCATAACATTAGTGAAAACCAATCCAGTTAAGAGTAACAAGATGAATCTTTCTGATCTAAAACATAGCTGATTAAACCCACAGAACTTGTCCTCCCCTCCTGTTTACCTCGTTCTAAAGTCACTTCTACCTACCCAGATGCATCTCATATATTAGTACCCAGCACAAGCTTCAACTCACCTATGCGGCTTTTAGAGAAATTGTGCAACAACTCATGTTAGTTTCTATCCTCATTTGAATTCCCAAAAAGGGTATATATTGTCCACATATTTTTTCACTCAGTTATACACAGTCTTTACAGTGCTATCATTTAGCAGTCACTGTTCATTTAACACATTATGTGGACCTTACATTCTAGCCAGAGGAGAAAACATTTAGATAGCACTTACTATGTGCCAGGTACTTTTCTAGGCACTTCACATGTATTATTTCTTTTAATCCTCTCAACAACCTATGAAGAAGGAGTAATATTATTATCCTCATTTTACATATGTAGAAGCTGAGGCACAAAGAAGTTAAGTGACTTGCCCAAGGGCACACACAGCTAAGCAAGAGGCAGATAGTCTGGTTCTAGAATCTGTGCACTTGGTCACCGTGCTAGGCTGGCTCTGTGTATATAATGTGGTCTCTCCAACAAGGTTATAAACTACTATGGACAACAATTTCTTCCATACTCCCTAGGGCACCTACAGTGTTGAGATCATACAGCTGGAAAGAACCTCAGATGATCACTGCAAACACCAGTAAGGTTAATCACAGAGTTAAATGACTTTTAAAAATATAGCTCAGTCCTACTATTATATTTTGTTACAATATTGCAATTAAACACCATTTTCTAATTAGTCTTTCCAATAATGCTAATTAGCTTATGATTTTAAATATTAGTAAATTATTTTTATCCTGCCTGATTTCAAAAGAAAAAATTTCAATTATTTTCCCTCTTTAATTCTTACAGTCCTCTATTTTTTGTGTTGCTAGAGGCTTTTAAAGGTCTTATGAACATCTACCAGTTCTTGAATTTTTGACCTCACTATGTTTGAGAAATTCCTTGATAAAACTACATTCTCCATTAAAAAATACTCTCTTACTCCCAATTCTCAACAAATATGATACCACTACACTTTGGTAATTCTTCTTTTTAAGTATTTTGCATTCAAAATTGTCTCATATTGATGAATTAGGCAAAGGAGATTTAGAACCAATTACCATTGCTCCTGATTTCTTTAAGTACATATTTTGAGCTGAATTTGGGCAAAAAATTTTAATGGTTAAAGGAGACTCCACAATGTGATTGACTAAAACTTTATAATACTTAGTCCTCCCTTATCTTGAGCCAAAATTACCTGGGGTGAAATTACCCGGGGATAAGGGTGATAGAAGTAAAGTTAGGGGAAGTTACAATTTATACTTATTCACACATTCTTTCAAAATCATGACACATCAAAGATACAATATGTATCCAATGCTGGACTAGGTGGTGAGGCTACGGTGGAGAATGCTATCAAACATTTCTACGATCTAAGAACTGCAAATCTGTAATCCACTACTTTAGGAATTTTTTTTAAAGAAGTAGAAAAAAGCTCCTGTAGTTACTGATATTTCTCTTTTGATGTCAATAACAATTTACACTGTCCATGATATATTACAGCTCATTTTGTATGTATGTGAAGAATAGTAATTACAATGTATGTGGGTATAAGAGTGTCTCTTCCTTCAAGTTTTAAAATGAGTTTAGTGCCACCAAGTGGTTATGCTATAAACACTACAAAATTAGCAAAAAAAAAAAAAAGTGCACAGCCATTCATTCAAATATTTACCACACAACCACTATGTGCCAGACACTGTGATAAATGCTAGACATACAGTGAACAAGAAGGATGTGGTCCTTGTCCTCACAAAACTCACCTTATAAATATCTATTTGAAAGAACTTTAACTTGTCACAAAAAAAAATCTACTGTAGTTATAAATTATTTACATAGTCCTCAAATTTTTAAATCTTTCATTTATCCTGAGTGTTCTACTTTATACTCTGGTTTTTAACACATTTTTAAATAAAGTAGTAGAGTTCAATAATAGAAATAGGGCTATAGCAGGGGGTCCCAAGTAGGGCTGGCCCAGAACCTCACGAATTTGGTTTGGATTCCTTCGACAGGGTATAACTTCTTTTTGTACCTTATACAAACGAACACAGTAGATGCCCAGAGTAATAATGCAAAAATAGCTTAAAGTACTGCATAAATTATAGTTAATCTTCATTTAGTCATAGCTATAACAATGTAAACTAATAAAATTTTAATATAACTAGTCAAAGAAAAAAGGTTGAGAATGTACTGTGGCTTCCTAAAGGAAAAGTGATACTTGAAAAAAAAAGTATAAGATAAATGCCATGCTCATGAAGAATCTGGAAAGAAATACATACACAAAAAAGAG